AAAAAGTCGTCGTCGTCGTAGTAAAAAGTCGTCGTCGTAGTAAAAAGTCGTCGTCGTCGTCGTAGTAAAAAGTCGTCTTTGTCGTCGTCGTCGTAGTAAAAAGTCGTCGTCGTAGTAAAAAGTCTTCGTCGTCGTCGTAGTAGTAGTATTAGTAGAAGTAGTCGTCGTAGTCACCGTAGTAGTAGAAGAAGTCGTCGCAGTAGTAGAAGAAGTCGTTGTCGTCGTTGTAGTAGTAGAAGAAGTTGTCGCAGTAGTAGAAGAAGTCGTTGTCGTCGTCGTAGTAGTAGAAGAAGTTGTCGCAGTAGTAGAAGAAGTCGTTGTCGTCGTCGTAGTAGTAGAAGTCGTCGTCGTAGGAGAACAAGTCGTCGTCGGAGAACACGTCGTCGTCGTCGTCGTAGGAGAACAAGTCGTCGTCGTCGTAGGAGAACAAGTCGTCGTCGTCGTCGTAGGAGAACAAGTCGTCGTCGTCGTCGTAGGAGAACAAGTCGTCGTCGTCGTCGTCGTAGGAGAACAAGTCATCGTCGTCGTCGTGGTCGTAGGAGAAGAAGTCGTGGTCGTAGGAGAAGTCGTCGTCGTAGGAGAAGAAGTCGTCCTAGTAGACGTCGTCGTTGTAATAGTAGTAGTAGTTGAAGAAGTAGTAGTAGTTGAAGTAGTAGTAGATGAAGAAGTAGTAGTAGTTGAAGTAGTAGTAGTAGCTGTAGTAGTAGTAGTAGTAGTAGAAGTGGTAGTAGTAGTAGTAGAAGTAGTGGTAGTTGAAGTAATAGTAGTGGTAGCTGAAGTAATAGTAGTGGTAGTTGAAGTAATAGTAGTGGTAGTTGAAGTAATAGTAGTAGTAGTAGTAGTAGTAGTAGTAGTAGTTGAAGTAATAGTAGTAGTTGAAGTAGTAATAGTTGAAGTAGTAGTAGTTGAAGTAGTAGTAGTTGAAGTAGTAGTAGTTGAAATAGTAGTAATTGTTGAAGTAGTAGTTGAAGTAGTAGTAGTAGTTGAAGTAGTAGTAGTTGAAGTAGTAGTAGTAGTTGAAGTACTAGTAGTAGTTGAAGTAGTATTAGTAGTTGAAGTAGTATTAGTAGTTGAAGTAGTAGTAGTTGAAGTAGTAGTAGTAGTTGAAGTAGTAGTAGTTGAAGTAGTAGTAGTTGAAGTAGTAGTAGTAGAAGTACTAGTAGTAGTTGAAGTACTAGTAGTAGTTGAAGTACTAGTAGTAGTTGAAGTACTAGTAGTAGTTGAAGTACTAGTAGTTGTTGAAGTAGTATTAGTAGTTGAAGTAGTAGTAGTTGAAGTTGTAGTAGTAGTAGTAGTAGATGTAGTAGTTGACGTAGTAGAAGTAGTAGTAGTAGTAGTTGAAGTAGTAGTAGTAGTTGAAGTAGTAGTAGTAGTTGAAGTAGTAGTAGTTGAAGTTGTAGTAGTAGTAGATGTAGTAGTTGAGTAGTAAAAGTAGTAGTAGTAGTTGAAGTAGTTGTAGTAGTTGAAGTAGTTGTAGTAGTTGAAGTAGTAGTAGTAGTAGTAGTAGTAGTAGAAGTAGTTGAAGTAGTAGAAGTAGTTGAAGTAGTTGAAGTAATAGTAGTAGTTGAAGTAATAGTAGTAGTTGAAGTAGTAGTAGTTGAAGTAATAGTAGTAGTAGTTGAAGTAGTAGTAGTTGAAGTAATAGTAGTAGTAGTTGAAGTAGTAGTATTAGTAGTAGTAGTATTTGAAGTAGTTGTCGTCGCAGTCCTCGTAGTAGTTGTAGTAGTAGAAGAAGTAAAGTAGTACTAATAGTAGTCAAAGTAGCAATATTAGAAATAGTCGTCTAACTAGTGGTGGTAGTCGTCTAACTAGTGGTGGTAGTCGTCTAACTAGAGGTGGTAGTCGTCTAACTAGTGGTGGTAGTCGTCGAACTAGTGGTGGTAGTTCGTCGAACTAGTGATGCGTAGTCGTCGAAACTGAGTGGAAGTCGGTCGAAAACTAGTGGTGGAAGTCGTCGAACTAGGTGTGGGGGGTTTAAGGGTTTTCGGGGGCGAACTGTGGTTGGTAGTCGTCGAAACTAAGTGGTGGTAGTCGGGTCGAAAACTAGTGGTGGTAGTCGTCGAAACTAGTGGTGGTAGTCGTCGAACAAGTGTTGTAGTCGTCGAACTAGTGGTGGGTTAGTCGTCGAAAAAAACTAGTGGTGGTAGTCGTCGAACTAGTGGTGGTAGTCGTCGAATAGTACTAATAGTATACGAAGTAGTAGTAATAGCAGTCAAAGTAGTAGTAATAGTAATGGTAGTCAAAGTAGTAATAATAGTAATAACAGTTAAAGTAGTACTAATAGTAGTCAAAGTAGCAATAATAGAAATATTCGTCTAACTAGTAGTGGTAGTCGTCGAACTAGTGGTGGTAGTCGTCGAACTCGTGGTGGTAGTCGTCGAACTCGTGGTCGTTGTTGAACAAGTAGTTGTCGTCGAAGTAGTAATGCACGTCGTCGAAGTAGGCGTTGTGGTAGCCGTAGTATTATGAGTAATAGTATGGGTAGTAGTAGGCGTAGTAGCAGTAGCCGTAGTAGAAGTCCTCGTGCCAGTAGTCGTAGTACTAGCCGTCGTCGTAGTACCAGTTGCACTAGTCGCCGTATCAGTTCTGGTCGTCGCAGTAATATATGTAGTAGTCGTAGTAACATTCGTCGCAGTAATATACGTAGTAAAGTCGTAGTCATAAACGTAGTAGTCCAAGAGGTCGTAGTAGTAGTCGTTGTAGTAGTAATAGAAGTATTCACAGTAGTCATAGTAGCAGTGGCAGTACTAGTAGCAGTAATAGTACGAGTAGTATTTATAGTACAAGTAGTATTAATAGTACAAGTAGTATTAATAGTACAAGTAGTTTTAATTGTACTTTAGTATAAATAGTTCTGGTAGTAGTTATAGTTCTGGTAGTATAGTTCTGGTAGTAGTAATAGTTCTGGTAGTAGTAATAGTTCTGGTAGTAGTAATAGTTCTGGTAG